TTGGCAGGGAAAGCTGTGATTAGTTTCTATAACCAAAAATTGAAGGAGAAATGGATACAGGAAGGTGACCTTAATACTAAATATTTTCATGCCAGTTTAAAGAAGAAGATATCCAGGAGCAAAATAAGAGCCTACAAAGATGATCAAGGAACTCTGATTGAAGATGCAAAATTGGTGGAAATGCACTTCCTAGAGTATTTTCAGTCACTCCTTGGAACAAATGTGGCCAGAACATCAATCCAAAGCAGCTTTATCAGCTCAGGGATTAAACTGTCTGTTGAACAGCAAATTCTCCTGACTGAGGAGTTCACTAAGGCTGATGTTAAGGAAGCAATGTTCAGTATAGATGTTACTAAGAGCTCAGGCCCTGATGGATTCAATAGTGGATTCCACAAAGCTATGTGGTCCATTGTAGAAGAAGATGTATGTGAGGCTGTTATGGAATTCTTTAAAATAGGTAAATTGTTGAAACAGTTGAATGCAACTTTGATTGCTTTGATTTCTAAAGTAAAAGTGCCCAAAGATGCTACTGAATACCGGCCTATTGCCTGCTGCAACACTGTATATAAATGCATTTCTAAAATGATATGCAAAAGGCTGAGTAGTGTCTGGATGGATTGACTGATATAAACCAAGGAGCTTTTGTGAAAGGTAGATCTATACTGCAAAATATTCTCTTGACACAGGAATTGGTAAGACTGTATAAGAGGAAAAACGTAAAGCCAAGTTGCTTGATGAAGGTGGATCTCAGGAAGGCCTATGATTCTATACACTGGTGTTTTATAGAGGGGATACTACAAGAATATGGGTTTCCACCAAAGATGATAGGTTGGATCATGGAGTGTATCAGAACAACAACATTCTCTCTGAACATTAATAGATGCAGCACTGGTTTTTTCCAAGGAGGAAGAGGTTTGAGACAAAGTGATCCGATGTCACCCCTCCTCTTTGTAATGGTGATGGAGTATCTAACCAGAATGTTTAAATCAGAAGCAAGTAAAGAAGGTTTTCAGTTCCATCCTTATTGTGATAAACTGAAAATAACCTCACTGAGTTTTGCAGATGATCTTATCATTTTGTATGGTGCTGATATTCACACTGTGACAAGAGTGAAGAAGATAATGGAGAATTTTGAAGCTACAACTGGACTGAGAGTCAATTTCAACAAATCTAATGTCTATGTGGCAGGAGTATCTGAATATACAACTAATCAAATCCAATCTATTCTGGTATTTGAGAAAGGTAGTTTTCCTATGAAATACCTGGGGATGCCAATATCACCTACTGCATGGAGCAAAATGGAATGTCAAAGCATGGTGGATAAAGTGACAGCAAGGATCAAATGCTGGATCTCAAAGCATCTGTCATATGCAGGCAGGTCACTACTTATTAATGCTGTATTGATGAATTTAAATTCCTATTGGGCTAGCATTTTTCTTATCCCACAAAATGTGATCCAAGACATAGGCCAAAGTTTGTAGGCAGTTTCTTTGGGGAAGTAAGGAAGATGGAAGGAAGCTGCCCCTTGTAGCATAGAATGATGTGTGTCAGAAGAAATCAAAAGGAGCCTAGTTTGTGGAATAAAGCCATGATCACTAAGCAGTTGTGGGATCTGAGTAACAGGAAGGAAAGTTTGTGGGTCAAATAGATACATATGTACTATATAAAAGGCAGACTAGTATGGGATTGTAGAGCTCCAAATGACAGCAGTTGGCATTGGAAGAAACTAATGAAAATCAAAGAGGCTATGAAAGCAGGGATCAGCAATGGTCAATGGTTAGGAAATGGCGGTAAGCAGTATACAGCAAGTAGTAGATACACATGGCTGAGAGGTGAACACAGAAAGGATCATGCAGCAAAGGTAGCATGGTGCTGTTACTTAGTTCCAAAACACAGCTTCATAAGCTGGTTGGCCTGGAAACAAAGACTGAATACTGGGGAGAGGTTGCAGAAACTGAATATTGTTGCTAATGATATAAGATGTGTTTTGTGTGAATCAGAACCTAAAACTGCTAAACATCTATTCTTTCAGTGTGTGTTCTCTAAAAGATTGCTGAAAATGGTGAAAGTTTGGCTAGGAATCAATACCATCCCCAACCAGTTGAATGTCCAGGAAATTCTGCAATTATGGAGGTACATGAAGCTGCAACAGAAGGTACTCTATGCTGTCTTTAATGCCACAATTTATCATGTTTGGATGGAAAGAAATTATAGGAAATTTAGAGACATAAAAAGTGAGGTAGAATGCTGTTTTAGCAAAATTCAACAAGAGATTAGATATAGAATTCAATTTGTTTGAAGTTGAAAAGATTAAAAAATAGTGAGCAGCAGTTTATGAGGAGATTAGGGATGTGTTTTTGATAGATGCTGTAATTATACATTGTACAGGAAGTTTTGTGATGTGATCAATGAAATTTACACTTTACCCAAAAAAAAAAAATCTTTTACACCTAGCAAGAATATTACTTGCTTTGGCGTTAGTTCATACTCTTCAAAGGTCTTCATAGATGCATTCGAATTACACTGATTTGTTATTGATGTATGGTTTTTCTTAAAGACCACATTAATGGTGTTTTGGAGATATCTTGCAATAGAGGTAGTACGGGTATACTAAAGGGGAAACTCCACTCATGAGTGTCATCGACTATTACAATAAGCACAATGAACAAATGCAGTTTAAAAGTGCTCTCACTGTCCGCTCCATTTCTTTTCTTCTTTTGTTTTTTCATTAACTTCTTGCGAAATTGGTTTCGGTTGGAGAATCAATGAGTTACTTTTATAGAATATTGGAACTCACAACTGCACGTAGTGAAAGGATTGATCGCCTTTGATCAAGCATCATTCCTATACCTTTTGTGTGTGTGTTTGTGTGTGTGTGTTTCCCCTTGGAAATGAAAGTGCAATTTTATTAATTTGGTGGAAATTAAATTGTCGAACAATAATAATTAATGAAATACAGATATGGAAGCGGGAATTTATTATATTGGACTTTTAAGTAGAGTTTATTGGGGTGGGTTTTAAAGAAAATAAAAAAAAGACAGATATTTACAAAGAAAAACATGATTTACTATACATAATAATACTATGGATGTGTTTATATCAAAATTTTACACCCTGCAAATATGAAAAAAAAAAAAAAATGCTTTCCCTACCTTATAGTAGAAACAGATTTAAGAACAATGTAATTTCTTTTTCTTTTTTTTTTTTTGGTGAACCGAACAATGTAATTTCATTTTCAATATGGATTGTCGTTTGTTGTAGTAATATTGCCAGTCAATCTAGCTTTTGGTATTAATTAGTATGTTATCTACAAGTATGCATATACGTACATTTGGTTTTTAATCAATAAATTGGAGGATGCTCACAAACTAATGACGCAGTAGAATCAAAGGACTTGGTGAATGACAGGAAAACAATAAACAGAAAATTGAGAGAGTTGTAAGATTAATCTTCTTCTCATCTCGGGTTTTCCTGAATCAACAATTTCCATCCATTTGCTTTCGGCATATTAATAAAGAAAATAGTTTATTTGTCCACGACCACAAACTTAACTCTCACATTCGATTCACTTATTGTACTTTGGCATGAGGATTGGTAATATTAATCGCGTAGATCAAAGCCGCGCGACCATAAACATTAGACTTTGACACTTTTACACTCTCAAAAACAAAAGACTCTCTCCGTCTTGAAACTATTGGCCGTTTTAGATTTTTATTTTTAACTCAAATATCTATATTGCAAAGAAACTTTTTTAAAAAAATTTCCAGTCGAATGTTGGAGAAAATATTAGAACACTACTTTGAATACCGGTAATTATTATGAGAAAACATTCATCCAAAGTCCAAACGGAACAACTGTTATACGTCAAAAAATCGTCATAGTATTCTGCCTAGAACTACTGTTAATTAAAAGAATTCCGTCGTATTCCATCAGAAGGTCGGAATAAAATCATGAGTGCAAGTAATTTATGAGCCCGTTATCAAATTGACCAGAAATAAAAATATGGAAAAAGGGGTTGAAATTAATTATTCTTGAAATAGTTTTATGGGTCACATACTCACATTTCATAGTTTCCAGGTTGATGCAGTTGACACCATCAGGGTGATAAACAAAAGGGTGCTCTTCCACCACTCCCACCTGAGGATCAAGTTCTCTGCCCAACGAACAATAAGTATCATTACATAAATAGAAAAATAAAAAAAAATAATTAGATGTTATTAGAATTCATCTTTATCATAGTCATTAGGATGAGTGAAGAGAGTACGGATTTCAACTCAAAACTAAGGTATTTTAACGAAGCTGTCAACAGCTTAGAGAAACTGAAATTCAGATTAGTAAAGAAATAAAAAACTACACAAAGTCTCTAATATCTTATTTAGAAGTTTGATCAATACTGCGAAGATATATCCACGGAATAATGTTATATATCTTCCGAAATGAACTATGGACATAATAGTCTGAAGTGATTTACAATAAGAAAATTAAGTTTTCATTAAGACTATATACTAACTAAACGATTGACCATATTGTAGTGAAATTATCGACCTGGATGTGGTACACGTATTTGACAATATTGTACTGAAATTGTTTTCCTTCATCAAAATAAATCTCATTCCCACCTACTAATTAAACAAACTCTACACCTCAACATTCAAGTTGAAGATAATTTGGTAATTAATTGGGTCTTCAAGATTAATGATTAATTGAAGTAAGTAACCAAGTTAAGGAGGGTCATTGATGCCATTTTGTGCACCTTTTTCCTATCATTCTCATTAAAGTATAAAAATATTCACCCTTTACAATAATGATTGTTCAAATATTATCATTAAATACCGCTGATGAGTTGCCATGATATGAACAAAACCAGATTAACCCTTTGTCTCTTTATATACATCTGGCCTAAAAATGTTTTTCATTTGCTCAAGCACTTGATTAAACTCTCACACAATCACACAGTAAAAAAGAGATTTGAGCAAGTGTTCTTTCTTCCTCAAACCATATCATCAACCAACAGAAACATGGGGTCATCACCACCTCCAACTTTATCTGGTCCTACATTACCAGCAGAGCTTGAGAGTTCCTTTCGTCAGATTGTAACTGATGCTTGTGAATCTCACCCACATTTGAGGGATTTTCTCATTGATTTTCATTTCAAAGATGGGAATATTAGATACTCCCAGATCGACCAATACCTTAGCTCTTCACCATTTTCCTCTTCCCAAGCAAATCGGCTGGAATCCCAAAACTTTTTATCAACCACAACGCCAAATAATCCTCCATCCTCAGTTCATGCCAGCTCGGCTTCTTTATTAAGAACATCTACTGGGAACCCTGACAACTCCATACACAACAATGAAAATCCAGCCACACAAGCAAATATTTTGCCAATGGGAACAAACTCAAGGCCTGATGGCCCAAACCCGATTCACAATCAATCTGTGACACCCATGCCTACAGAAATCATACCCAACTTCATCAATTCAGTACCAGCAAACAGTGGAGGAGATGAATGTGGTGATGAGGGTGGAGTTATCCGAAGTGCAGCGAGATCGAGAGCACCGTGGAAAAGGATGTACGAGTCCAGGCTGATGTTTCATTCTATAGCTGGTGGTAGTTCGTTGAGAAATCAACCCGAACCGAATCAATATTGTGGATGCATCATGAAAACAGTGATGGAAGGCCAGACCATGCCTTCCCTGAGGACTTGCCCGGTTCATGAACCCTCCTACGAGCTATTGGATTTGTCTGTGTTAACTAGTCATGTACCACCGCCACCACCAATTGAAAAACATCCGTAAGTCGTTTAATCCTTGTGATTTTTTGCCACTTTTCTTTTTCCATTTCAGTTTGTGCAATTTTTGATTTAATGCAATTTATTTCGTTTCTGATATGGATTTCTTTATTATTTCAGTGATGATGTAATTAGTAGCATGGGGGGTTCACTACCTAATCATGAGAATGTTGGGGAATGGGTTCCTGCTCCATTGAACTCAACCATCCAACACGGATTTAATTCGCAAAGGTTCATATATCCATATATTACCATTTTTGTTTTTATAAGTGACATGGACTTGTATACAAGTTACTAATGAACAAAATGAAAAAAAAAAGAACAAAATTTGGACAATTTTACTATATTCCTTTGTATGCATGTAATTGATGGTTGTTATTTTGCTAATATTTCAAAAATGAACGTGGGATCACTGTCTCCTTTTTTTGCGTATTAATCAAACCCTATTGTTTCGTTTGGTCAGTCTCACCAATGCTTTCTAGGTAATAACCAAAATATGAGTCATCTCCAAGAATTTGCATTCAAATAGCCGACTCCTCGTGCATCTTTGTTTCTTTTTTTTTTTTTCATTTTAGTTCGTGCAATTTTTAATTTAATGTGATTTATTTCGGTTCTAATATGGATTTAATTTATTATTCTAATGGGGATGTAATTAGTAGGATGAAGGATTCACTTCCTTGTCATCAGAATGTTGAAGGATTGGTTCCTGCTCCATTGAACTCAACCATCCAACACGGGCTTCATTCCCAAAGGTTGACATATCTGTATGTTTCAATTTTTGTTTTGATAAGTGATCCGGACGTGTATGCATATATAATTAATGAACAAAATGACCCAAAGATGAACAAAATTTTAACAATTTATATATTTTCCTATGTATGCATGTCATTTATGGTTTTTATTTTGCTAATATTTAAAAATTAACGTGGAACCATAAAGAAATCCATATCTTTTGGTCAGGGTCATTTTGTTCATCTATTTAATGTGTACCTTTATTATCAAACGTTACCGTTTCTGTTCGTTTGTCTCAATAATGCTTTCTAAGTAATAACCAAAATCTGAGTGAGTCATGTCATGGAATTTCCATTCAAATAGCGCACTCCTTTTGCTTCTTCGCTTGTTCTTTTTTTTTTTTTTTTTTGCCATTTGAGTTTGTGCAACTTTCAATTTAATGTAATTTATTTCGGTTCATGTTTTGTTTTCTTATTGTTCCATTGATGACGTAATTAGTAGGATAGCGGGTGCACTTCCTAGTCATCAGAATGTTGGAGGATTGGTTCCTGCTCTATCGAACTCAACCATTCAAGAGGAACTTGATTCCCAAAGGTTCATAATCTATATATTGCAATTTTTTTTTTATAAGTGTCCGAACTTGTTCGAATGTAATTAATGAACAAAACAAAAAAAGAATGAACAAAATTTTAACAATTTTACTATTTCCCTTTGTATGCATGTAATTGATGGTTGTTAGTTTGCTAATAGTTAAAAACTGTAAGTGGGATCACTGCTTCCTTTTTTGCATCTTCATGATCAAACCTTCTATTTTCGTTCGTCAGTCTCACGATGGTTCCTAAGTAATAACCAAAATCTGAGTCAGTCGTCTTCATGAATTTGCATTCAGATCACTCCTTATGCGTCTTCAATTCTTTCTTTCCCTTTTAGTTTGTACAGTTTTCAATTTAATTTTTTTTATTTCTATTCTGATATGGATTTCTTTATTGTTCCAGTGATGATGTAATTAGTAAGATGACGGCTTCACTTCCTAGTCATCAGTATGTTGAAGAATTGGTTCCTTTTTCATTGAACTCGACTATCCAACACGAAGTTGATTCCCAAAGGTTCATATATTCATATATTGCAATTTTCGTTTTTATCAATGATCTGAACTACTTGCTTGCGTGTAATTAATGAACAAAAAATGAATAAATTTTAACAATTTTACTATTTTCCTTTGTATGTATGTAATTTAGTGTTGTTATTTTGCTAATATTTCAAAAATGATCGAGGGATCGCTTCCTTTTTGCATCTTCATTATCAAAATTTACCGTTTTCGTTCCTCAGTCTCACCTATGCTTTCTAAGTGATAACTAAAATTTGATTCAGTAATCTCCAAGAATTTGCATTCAAATAGATCATTCTTTGTGCTTTTTTGCTTCCTTATTCCATTTTAATTTAGTGTGATTTATTTCGGTTTATGTTTTTTTTTATTGTTCCTGTGATGATGTAATTAGTAGGATGGCGGGTTCACTTCCTTGTCATCAGAATGTTGGAGGATTGGTTCCTGCTCCATTGAACTCAGCCATTCAATACGAACTTGATTCCCAAAGGTCCATATTTATACATATTGCAAGTTTTTTTACTAAGTGATCCGGTGTTGTATGCATGTAATTAATAAACAAATGAACAAAAAAAAGACCAAATTTTAGCAAGTTTACTCTTTTCCTTGGTGCATGTAATTGATTGTTGTTATTTTTGATAATATTTTCACAATTTGTCATTTTCAATCCAGGAGCCATTGCGGCAACAACACATCATGTGACAGCTACCCGGTCCTCCACAGTGATCTGACAAGGTTTATTCATTATCCTTGAAGCACCAATATAATGTCTGATTGTACATTTTTTTACACCAATAAAAGGGGTAAAAAGGGCAAATCTAGCGTGATTTTGCTTTACTTAATCTAGTGAAACAAAAAATTTTTTGAACAGGCCTCAAAGACAAAATACAGCTTCAATATTTGATTTGGAGTTGAAAGCCGCCCAGCCATCAACAACATTCTCTTATTTCCAAGTTCCGCAATCGCATAGGCAGTGGACAGGTACACTTCCTAAAATTTTATCATTAATATTTGTTTCCAGGTTTATGTAGGCACTTCCACTTATTGATGTTACTATGAAATGAAAACCAACATTAACATATCGAACCAGATTTTACGCAGGCAAGGAGCAATAGAATAACGTATATTTATAGCCTTATTATATGCTTCTTAACTAAACTCCGCAGGTCAATCAATAATTGTATCATTGATGATAAAAATATCTCGTATAATATCATGTGATTATAAGTTTATAATAATGGTGTCATATCTTCCTACAAAGGCCAAATTTAACTTCCTTAGTAAAGAAAATAAGGTAAACTTTTTGGGCACTCACCTAAGCACGTAAGGCTTGGATAGACTCGGTCCTATAAAGCTCTCAAAATGACTCTTTTATGTGAATCTCCGATTTAAACTAGGTTAACTTTTGAACGACTGTGGCAACAATTTATGAACTTTATTAGACGTATCTATATAATTGTTACTCCCTCTGTCTCGATAAAATATCCAGACTGAGTTTTCAAATTTGTACGAAAACAGTACAAGTCTCAAAACTTGATGTTGAGTATTTTCTTGGACAATGGTAGTATTATCTTGAAAGTATCCTTAACATCTTTCAATTTCTTTCACATAGGTAATGCTATCGATTTGGGAAGCTGTTCACTAGTACATGGACACAGTATTCAAAGCATTCAAACAATCACTTCCCCAATAGTCTCTACTACAGCAGTAATCCCAAATGATGAACTCCTTGAAATCACTTATGAACGTGATAATCTGCAGCTGGAAAGCCAAGATTTTAGTATCAGTAGTGAGGCTGCCAAACTCGAGCAATTTGTTAAGCAGTTCGAAGCACTAATTCATGTGGATCAAATGGACTGGAACAACGACGCTCTGGAAACCTCCTAAACAATTTGCTAAAGTATCATCGGTAGAATTCAGATATATTCGGTTTTGATGTTTGACCAATATGGCCACCATAATTTAGGGGATGATGTTATGCTTACAGACTAGCTATATTCTTTAAGAAATTGGTACGCACCATATTACTTTCTTTCTAATTTCACCTCAATAAATATACGCACTTGTTTTTTTTTGCTTTACAGTGTCATTTTCAATTGGTGTTTGTGATTGTACTCTATGAAAAGCTTTAGATATATGGACCTGGAATCATTAAAACTAAAGATAATATGGTCGATAATTTAATTCATTTTAGATCTATGATGAAGCAAAATGAGAACTGAAGTTAAAGGGGTCATAGATGTCATTTTCACCATTTCTCTTATCATTACTCATTAATGTTTGAAAAAGTTCAATCAGTTACAGATATTTGTAATCTGAATACCAGATTCAATGCCAGTTATGAATTCTATTCCACAAAGAACCCCCTTCAACTATCAAATTGTTCAAATTAACAGAAAACTAAGTAATAATGATTCAAAGGGGCAACCCACATTGGCCATTACCTCCAAAAAAATCCTCTTGATTTATATAATTTTCGGTTCAAGAACACTTATATAAGTTACTAACAAAGTTTGAGTATGTAATGTCTTCCCAAATATGTCAGTTTTCTTTATTGCCAACCTCTTTGAATACGTCAAAATGGGATCACCGCTTCCATTTGTGTCTTCTTATCAAATCTCGATGTCTTCTCTTTGGTCTAATTTTGACCAATGAATCTGATTACCAGAATCTGAAATAGTCATCTCCAAAAATTTTGCATTTAAATAGCCGACCTCCAAAGAATCACAACTCATGCAGTCTTGTTTCTTACCAACAAAGCTGAAATCCATATAAAGATCATCCTGTAGCTCTACTCATTTCAAACAGATTCGATATTTTATAAACCATGTCTAATAATAATTCATCCTCAATGCATTCTATTGCAAGTTCATCACGAAGAACTGAAATCCCTCGAAATATTTCCGTGGTGAATAACCCTCAAGGTCGGGTAATCCGACAAGATCGATCCTGGTTACATGGTCGTCAAATGTCAATTCCGTCGACAAGGACTCGACAACAAGGCATGCAAATGTCAATTCCAGCTCCACCACCACTTCCACCACCATCAACACAAGGAAGTTGGTTAGTCTCATAAGCCCTTTGCTGTTAGTTTTGGCTTAGTAGTTTTCATTTTGTACCATTTTCATGATTAATAATGTGATCAAACTTTTCAATTTTTTTTTCTAAATATTGTTCTCATGGATTTCAATTTTGTACTAATCTGATGCCATTTTATAGGAATGCGCATCAAATTCGTCCTGGTTTTGTTCCTAATCCATGGAGCTCGCGCATTCACCAGCAAGACTGGCAAAGGTTGATTTATGGCAATTTTGTTTTGTTTAAATTAATTCTTTTTTAACTTATGTGAATTGGATTGCTCTTTGTTCTTTTTCCAAGTTGGTTTTTTCCATTGTTAGTCAAAGATATTCCTTTTATTCCCAATGTTAATATTCAACAAAGGTTGATTAGCAAAGGTAAGTGTAAATGTTTGAAATTTAGATTATCAATTGCATTTGTAGATCTAGCTTAATTTCCTTTTAATTAATTAATCTCATGAATTAAATTAATTACGAGCAGACCTGAAAGAGGAAATTCTTCCATATATCATTGGGAGTGGAATCTCCGATCGACTACTTCAGCACCTAATTTATCAACTCCAGCTGCAGCTCCAAATCATGGAAATGAAACCTGGAATCAGCAACGAGGAAATAGCCAAGGGATAGGTAATTACGTATTTAACTATTTGCATCAATTGAAGCTTTGCTTTCAAATTTATGCTACAAAAAAGAAACAGTTTTCTTTTTTGTTGTCTTATTACCATTATCATTTACAATTATTATTCAACAGATGATTGCATGTTCTTGAGTGCATACATATTCATCTTTTTTTGGTTTATTGAACAATATATATAATAACCATTTTATTGAACGTGTTACTATGAAATACTAGATGGATTGGACCTGTTTCGCGGGTGCGCGTTATTGTATATATGATCAAAATATTTACTTTTGTTAGGGCTATAATTATTGTATTAAATAAAGTACAAAATGATTTTTTTAAAAATAATTTCAAAAGAATACCTGCTAATATATTACCAATTGTTTTGGTACAAAAAAGCAAAAGCACGATTAAATCATTTCTATTAAATTTTATAAACTTTTTTTTATATCAATTTTAAGAAAATGTCAAAATCTAAATGAAACTTAAGTAATTTAGTGTGTGGGTGAAAATTATCGACTAAGTCCTTGCAAGCACATCTTTACCATCATTTCAGCGTCACCTAATTCCTGTTAACTTTAGATTACTCACAATATAAACAATCCAAGTAACTCTTGATATTCAATGGTTTCATGGAAAAATCAACAAAAGAATTACAGATTTATTCCAATATATTTTATAATGCTCGCTTTAAACACAGAAAACATCTCAAAGCATCCACACTCGTACTAACTATGATTGACTATGATTTGTGACATTACTACAACAACAAAAAAAAAAAAGAGAAAATTTTATATTAATTTAAAACTCGGGCAAAAAAAAATTTTGAAATTATGTATACAAACATGTATAAGTATACAGTTTTTTGTTTTGCATAACTTCAATCATATGAAGGAATTTCATTTCCTTAATTTGGATCAAGAGTATAACAATATATACAAACAACCATCACATATAAAGTGGCCGAGTTTTTCCGGAATCTCCTATAGATTAGAAGATCAACGTTAACTTTGTTTGTACGAAAAATGTTTGTAGCTATGACTCAAATTAACACACAAGCATGAGTCATGTATGTAATGGGTTTCCGATGGTGGACAAAAAGAAAATTTCAACAAACAAAATTTGAAAGAAAATAACCTTACGCTCGACTGAGAAAGAATACCTTATGGTTACGCTGAAGATCAATTTATAGGGGAGAGCGAAATGGGAGGGTTTTTGAGTGAGTGTTAGTTAGTAGGAAGAAAAATTCTTATGGTGTTAAATTACACAAGTCTTGTACATTTAAACATTCGTTATTGTCTATCCAGTTCTCAAGAAATGTAAGTAACGGTTTTTGTTCATTCATAATTTAAAATAACTTTACATATCCGAATTAATGAGAATTTTTATAGCCATTTAAATCACTATTTTTATTTCATAATGCAGTGGTGCTATTATCATATGAGAAGTTGAAAAGATAAATGTTCATATAAAAATGAAATAGTAATTATAACTAATCGTAATTCATGTGTTAGTTAGGAAGACATAAAGGACATAATTTATTCACACATCTTCATAACTGTTAACCCTTTAAGTTCCCATATTCAAAGATATTAAAACTTTCTAACTAAATTATTTTTTTATCCACTTAATGATGTCATGGAATGACTACAAAAATCTTTCCCATATTCGCTAATTATAATATATTTTGAAAAAGAGAAAACAAAGTAGTACTGATAAGCCGTCGTCGCAACTAGTCAAATAAATTTATTTATTTAACACTAGTATAGCAGAAAATAGGGTCGTACCCACAGAGAAGAAACACTAATTACCAGGTATAAATTATTTCTTATTATTATTTAAAAAACTAACAATAATGATTTTAAATTAAACTAAACCTAATACTAATAATTAAATCTAATTAATAAAAGAAAATCTAGGGCAAAGGGTTCACCTACCGACTACTCAGTTTAACTCAACCTATAGGTATGTGACTTTGGACTTTCATTAATCTCACAACGACTCACCTATTTAAGAACTATTCACTATCGTGATATAAATCTCTTAGTCAAACTAACCTTATGACTACTGTCGTGACTATAGATTTAATTAGAGTACATTAAGATCCCTAGAATCTATAGCTGCCAAGACGGTGTTCCTACTATCGTGGCCACTATCTAAGTTTAATATTCCCATGAACTAGTACTAACCTTCAACCGTCGTTCCTTAAGTTAAACACCTTTAAAGCATGCAAGTGGTGATCAAATACTCACATGGAATAAAAACAAGAATATTAAATATCAACTAATAAAAAAGTCACAATCATGAATTAAATTAAATTAAATAGTACGGCGGCTACAACCAATTAAAAATATTTAGCTACTACACATTATTCTAAAATAAATAATACTCCCTCCGTCCCATAATTATTGTCCATTTTACCCAAAAAATTTTGTCCCAAAATTATTGTCCAATTTGACTTTTTATGGATCAAGTTACACATTTGTCCTTAGTAAAAAACATTATCCACAAAATCTTAATAGTTAAACAATTACTTATGTAGGGTATATCCGGTTGTTTAAGGTAAAATATAGTTAAGTGTGACCAAAAATAAAATCTTTCATTTTAGTAAAATATAGTTGTCGCGAAAAGTGGACAAGACAATAATTATGGGATGAAGGGAGTAAAACAAAATAAAAGAACGATGGAACCGGGAAGAAGATTGCGTCTGTCGTGAAGAAAAACCAGCCCAAACTTGGTCCGAATTCTCCTCTTGCCGCGGCTTATTTTATAAAGCAAGAGCCTCCTTTTATAGTACTACTTACTTGTCGGTGGCTTTCTTCTCAAGAAAACAAAATTGGATCCGTTCGCTAACTCCATTCCATGAGACGTGGCCCATGCAAATTGACCTTCTCTTTTTCATTCTCGGTTCTAACTCCAGCAAGAACCATCAGGGCCAAAATTTTAAAAGATTTAAAGAAATAAAGTAGGCATGGGCTTGTTTCTTATTTTTAATTTTGACAACCAAAGCCAGCCCACTCTCCTTAATCTTTGGGCTCCCAAAAACAAGCTAGGATCAATTAGTCCTCCAAGCCATACTCTCGGCCAAACCCAATCAAGAACTTCGAAATTGCACTTTGGTCCGTCAAGTCCTCAAGTCCATGAATTTCTCCTCATCAATTCTTCAAATCTTCAATTAAGTACAAAACTCCAATAATTCATCATTGAATCTTCAAGAAAAGAATTTGTTTCCTTACAAGTCATTTAAATTAAATTAAGTACCAAATTCAACTCAAAGATATAAATTCTTATTAAAAACATAACGAATGAGGGCATAAAAATATGTCTAGTTTTGCACTTATCAAGTATTAAATACATATTAATGGGAGAGTAATGACATTGATTCAGCAGATACATTAAGTTTTATAGCCTAAAAAAAATAAAATCACCTAGTTTTCTTATATGCATTTTTCACACAATCTTGTTTATGTTTCTAGTGGAATAATTTTAACATGAAAGTTTTCAATATACTTCAAACAGAGGTCTGTAGGAACAGTTAACCGTATGTAAATAAGAGATTGTCTTTCAAAGTGACTTGTTTTACCAAAAAATTTAAAGCTATCAATTTAAAAACGAACATTTGTACCGGTCTATACTTATTATTATTTTCGATCGCATACTATTTATTATTTTCTTTTCTAGAAAAGGTTTCTTAAACAAAATCTTGGTTTGACTAAAGGCATTCCTCTACAAGTACTCAATTTCGTTTCACAAGGGTTTTCAACAAGTAATCTGTAAAAGAACTTACATAACAATGCAATTGATCTTCAAATATCGGCCTGTACTAACTTATCTTTTCCTTGCATTCTTGCTCTTTTTTTTTTTCTTCCTTTTCTTTTCAAACAGGTGTAAGTGATTCTTTGGAAGCTATCACAATACTGGAAGGACAAAACATTCATGACTCCCGAACGGTCCCGTCATTTGAAGCCCTAACCCCTGTCTCCGGACAAGAAGACGAAGCTACTATTCCTGGTTCGCAAGAAGCGGACACATTGTAGGCAGCAATCAACCCTGAAACTCCCCAACAAGCTCCCTCTCCTTCCCATGACATTAATTCCACGGTAGATGGTCACGGTTCCAATGAAAGCGATAGCAATGGTACTGAAAAAAGAAGGAAGAAACTGAAGGCGCGGGGAATGGTGTAGGAGCAGCAGCGCTGGAGAACGAGGGAACCGATCAGCTGAATGTAGAGGAGGAATGTGAGTTTGCCGGTCTGATTCCATGTTTGGAAAATGATGACTTTGAAGATTTGATTAAATGGCCCGACGAACAGTTCTTTTCCTATCCTGATTCTTACGGATTCGATAATATGTGATTACAATTTCTAGGGCTTGAATTTGTAATTCTTATTGGGGTCGAAAGTCTAATGTTGTTCCGAATCATTTCAATATACTTGTTTAAGTTTTTGTTTTTTTTCATTTTTTTATAAAAATTTGAACTTGTAAGGATTTGGTGGTGATATTTTTTTTCTTTTTCTTATGTTGTTTTGATGGTGTTGACAATTTTTTTTTTTTTTTTTGATTTCATGATGGTGTCAACTTTAATATTGCACAAACTTACATACTTTGGAATTTGGATACATAGCTTACATATTTTTAAAATTTCATAAGTTTCAAAAAAAGACCAAGGGTAAGTTTAAAACATATTGTTCAGTTTCTGAGTATAGGTTTGGAGAATATTATTCAATTTTAATAAGAGCGGTAAGAATGTCTTTTATGAATCCATTTACATATTAATTGATCTCTCATTTGATTGAAAGTTGAAAAGAAACATATATACTGAGGAGGTAATGTGCATTAAAGGAAAGAAATATTTTTGTTAAATGACTGCTTATTACCGTAATCTGATTCTCATCAGTCAACTTGATTTCGTAGTGAATAGAAATGACATATTCTTGCGAAAAAAGTATTCTCAAAATCATGTAGAGAGTCCACCAATATCAGGGGTGCTTAGGTAAAACAAAATCTATTGAAAGAAAAGAAAAATAAGCAAAAGAAAGAACGCTTCCGATCGTCCACGGTGTCGACAATAACAATATACTTCCTTCATTCCTTTCTCTTAAGAAGTAATTACATAATATTACAAATATCAATAAAACTAACAAAATTTAGTTTTTTGTACTCATATGTCATCAGTTTATTAAGTTAACTTTGTTACATTAATGATATTGGTTAGAATAAATTTTGATTTAGTCAGTTGAGAGGGCATACAAATACAATGAAAAATAAAACTATTTAATGCTTTCTTAAAAATGTAAAATCTCTTATTAAAATGAATAACAATCTTATGTTTAATGCTTTCTTAATAAAAAAGAATGGAGCTAGTGTGTCAGACCGATACTCAATGCTTTTAATAATATCCGAGTTTTGCTTTTGTAAAAATTATTCGCGTCGGTTGTTCGTCATCAACTCAACAATTGAGAAGTTTTGTGAAAAAACAATCAACGGAATTTAAAATTCAAAATATCTTATAAATTTCATTAAAATTGAACGGTATTACAACTTTTTAACTAATTAAGGCATCCATTTTTTTAACTAATTAGGTATCCATATCAATAAAAGACTCACAAAATTATTTGGTTGTTAAGAAAAATAAGTTGTGTCAGGGCTGGAAGGGTTGGGTGGGGTGGTTAGAGAATTAGGATGGGGGATGGTTATTACTAGGAGGTCAAGGGTTCGATTCTCACCGGGGCTATCTAATTTTTTGAAAAATAAGTTGTGTCAATTTGTTAATTGTCAACCTATAAAAGTCAACGAACCAAAATATATTGCTTTATATTATTTTCAATATTTATTTTTAATTTTTATTGAGTGGCAAGTAATTAACATAAGCAAATCAATTTCAAAACCCACAAAATTCTCACTACTCGTAGAAACCTTATGCACTGGCTTGTTCGTCTACTCTTAAACTATGGCAAAATTGTTCACGAAGAAAGACAACAAAATTTAAAATACGTCATTTGCTTATGCTATTCAAAAATTTTGATGGTATTGTAATTTCAGAATTAATGAAGGTATTAGTATTAATATAGGACTCATCAAAATATTTTCAAAAGAAATACATGTATATTTCTTCATCTTCCACTTTAAAATATTAATAATGTGCAATTGTACGATTGTCGTCTTCATCTTCCACTTTAAAATACTGACGAGGTCGACAAATTTTAAAATATATTTTTCCTATCATTTTAGATATTTTTATGTGTTATTACTGCGTGGTAATAACTAATTAATGTAAGGGAACCAGTGCATATTTTAGATAATACTCACTCCTTGTGGAAATTTTTTGCTGGCTTGTTCATCAGCTTAACAAGTATGTCGAGATGGTTCATGAACAAAGTAAACAAAAATCAAAATTCATTATCTCTATGATTCTCACAATTAGTAGATAGTATTATAGCTTTTAATTGATGAACATGTCAGTGTTAATTTAATATTCACAAAATGATTTCTTGTTTAGGTCACATTAGCAGCGTCGACGTCATCCTTGACTTAATGTAACCGACAAGTAAGTTGACGAATTCTAAAATATTTTGTATTTCTATCATTTTTTAATTTTTTTTAATATTTTTGTTGCATGGTTAGTAATTAATGTATTGAAACAAATGTAAAAGTCACAAAATATTGAAACACACAAAACTAAAAAGTCAGCAAAAAACTATGACGAGACGGTTCACGAAAAAAGTCAACTAAAAGCTAAATCAATTATCTCGTATAATTTTCACAATATTTTGATGGTATTATAAGCGGTAATTGTTTAAGGTATAAGTCTCAAAAAAGTGCATTTTTTTGAAGAAAAATAACACGCATAAACTAATTTTATTGGGAAAAAAAAGATAACCTCCGAAGATATGACTCTCTCCTACTGTTGGCGATTTTTACGCTCTACTGTGTGAAATCATCTTCTTCAACTGAGATCTACATTTTTTCTCGTTCCCTTGCAATACAGCTAGTATCTGCTATGGCGAGACAAGCGAAAGGGAAAAAAATAGTAGCTAAACCTCCGGTGCAGGTTCTAAGGGCGTCGGTGAGTTCGAGTGGGGAATCATCAAGGGGCAAATCTTCTCAGGCAATGGTGAAAGAACTAGAGCTTGAAGTTCATACTCTGGTAAGTGCCACTATTCCTCCTCTATCTCTGTCAAATCGTGCTAATTTGATGATGGAAGAAATAAGTAAACATAAGATCGTTACATCCGGAATTCAATTAGGAGGTTAGAATGGGGAATTAGGGCAACCGACTGAGGATCCTAATTGGACTAGGTTTAACCTGGATAAAATTGGGAAAATGTGTGTTAATCTTGAATTTGTTGATCCAAAAGTGGTATTTGTTAAGAAGATAGCTAAAATTTAAAAAGATGATGTGGAAGATGAGATAGAGTATTGGCGATCTTCTGTTGTGTGCTACGTGCTGGGTGGATACCCTCCCTAGAGAATTATGAATGGATTTATCCGAAGAATATGGGGTAGGTATGGTGTTGACAAGGTTTTGCTGTTGGATAATGGCTTCTATGTGGTTCGGTTCTCGAGTATGGAGCCGTAGTCAACTATATTAGGGAATCACTAACACTTAGATCGCAAGCCACTACTTGTAAAAGAGTGGTCGGTTGAGGATGGATTCAAGATGGAAGAAATACTGAAAGCTCCCATTTTGAACAGACTCCCGAGTTTGCAACTGAAGTAATGGGGTCCTAAATCTTTGAGTAGGATCGCCAATACTGTTGGTAGACTATTGAAGATGGATGAGCTCACTGCTAGTAAGCAGAGAATTGGATTTGCTAGACTGCTTGTTAAGATGAAAACACAGGATCAACTACCAGAGCAGCTTTGGTTTGAGGATTAGAATGGTGTGGTGTAGGAACAAGCAAACCAATACGATGCGAAGAATGCCGGGGATATGGACATGCAACTAGCCTATGTAGGAAAAAGGGTGAAGCAAATTTGGGTTCCTAAGAAACCTGCACATACCGAATCTCAGCCAGAAAAGGAAAAAAGGGAGCAGCATGATAATCTAGTGCCTATAAGGATTGAAGAACAGGAAGATGCTCCCAAGAGGGAAAAACAATACAATGGGAATCCTGTAATGGATTATAGAATCTGGGTTGGAACGGATGTACAAGGAGAAGGGGGTCTGGGGATCTCCCCCCACGAATAATGCATATGGAATGCAAATGCACAGTCCCCTAAAACAAAGAGAACTAAAGAATTTAGTCTCTGTAAACTATGCGGGAGTAATTGTAGTAGAAGCAAAATTAAAAGATGATAAACTAGATGAGATCATGCAGAAAAGCTACACTGGATATGATTATACAGGGAACGGTAAGAATGGAGGGAGAAATAGGATTGTCCTAATGTGGAAAACTGAAGAGATACAACTTAATGTACTCAAAAAGGAGGAACTACTTATCCATTTTCAAGTGGATGAATAAAATGAGAAAAGAAGATTCTTGTTGACAGTGGTTTATGGAGCTAATGCAAAGGAAGAAAGAACAAATCTATAGAATGAGTTAATCAGTTAGGGCAAAATATTACAGGGCCTTTGGTCATGGCAGGTGATTTCAACAATGTTCTAAGTCCAGAAGAAAAAGTAGGAGGTCTTCTTGTTACTGTCTCTGATATTGGGGAATTTAAGATGATGATTGAAGAATGGCAATTGTGGCATCTGTTAACCCATGGGGGTTTCATTACTTGGAACAACAAGCAGGCCGGTGACAATAGAATCTATGCAAGACTAGACAGGGTGTTGGTTAATGATGAGTGGCTGACTCGATTTGCGGAAAGTTTTATAACTATATTACCTGAAGGAGTCTTAGATCACTACCCAATGATAGCAAAGTGGTCATATAATGCATGTCCAACAAAGAGGTGGTTTAGATTTTTTTTTAACATGTTTGCCAGAGATGAGGAATATAAGGGAATAGTTCAGAAGATTTGGCAACAGGAAATTGTAGGGACTAAGCAATTTCAGTTGGTCCAAAAACAAAAGAGATTGAAACCATTACTTAAGGATTTTAACAACAGGAAGTATGCTAACATAGATCAATAGGTTCTTGAAAGCAAAAGGATGATGGAGGAGGTGCAAAGTGCTTTACAGGCTCAACCTCATAATGAGGAACTACAAGAAAAAGAAAAGGAAGTTGCCCAAAGTTATGTGGAAAAGAGTTCAATTGTGTATAGTTATTGGCAACAAAAGGTGAAGGAGAAATGGGTGCAGCAAGGAGACCTTAATACATCATATTTCCATGTTATAATCAAGCAAAAGGAGAAAAGAAAAAGGATCCTATCTTAAACTAATGAAATTGGAAATGCAGTGGAGGAATGGACGGAAAATTGAAGATCAATTCCTAGGTTTTTTTAAGAACCTGGTGGGGAGAAGTGAAGAAAAAAGGCATATAAGGCAGGAAGTTTGTGAGAAAGGAGCTTTGTTGACTATAGAGTAGCAACTTGAACTTATTAAGGAGGTGACAGATATTGAGATAAAAAATGCCATGTTCTCCATAGATGATGTAAAAAGCCCAAGACCAGACAGATATAATAGCCGTTTTTACAAAAAGACATGTGATGTAGTAAGGGAAAGTACTTGTGAAATAGTCAAGGAGTTCTTTCACTCTGGGCAGCTCCTCAAGCAGTTAAATTCCACGGTGATAGCATTGATTCCGAAAGTCGAGGCACCTCAAAAGGCAGTAGATTATAGGCCTATATCTTGTTAGTGTATTACTAATATTTTAAGCAATAGATTGTCAAAGGTGTTGCATCTTTTAGTGGAGAAGAATCAGGGAGCATTCATCAAGGATCGTCTAATCATCCATAGCATACTGTTGACACTGCAAATGGTGCAGCTGTACAACAGGAAGAATACTTCTACCAGGTGCATCCTAAAGGTGGATATCTAGAAAGCATACGACTCCATTGAATGGGCTTTTGTTGATGAGGTACTTGTAGCTTATAAATTTCCTAGTAAATTTCTAGCTTGGCTTAAAGAATGCATTACTACTAGCAGCTTTTCATTATATATGAATAGGGGATTGGTTGGATACTTTGAAGGAAAACATGGTTTACGACTTGGGGGATCCTGTATCCCCTTTGATATTTGTGCTGTGTATGGAGTATCTGAGTAGACTCTTTTAATATGAAGTTGATCAGAGGGGTTTCCATTACCATCCGAAATGTAAGAGACTTAACATTACAAATCTCAGCTTTGCTAATGATTTGATTATAATGTGTAGAACTTATTTGATGACTGTTAGGAGAGTTAAAAAGGTGTTGGATGAATTTACTGCAACCACAGTACTTAAGGCAAATGTCAAAAAGTCTCATGTATATTGTGGTGAGGTAAAGGATGATATTAAAATGGAAGTTCAGGGGATAACTGGTTTTAGTAGAGTGTCCTTTCCAATGAGGTATCTAGGTGTCCCTATATCCCCTAAGAAATGGAATGTTGTTGATTGTCAAACTTTGGTGGAAAAAATGACAGCTAGGATAAAATGTTGGACAACTCAGCATCTACCCTATGATGGAAGAGTAGTAATCTTCAACTCCGTAGTATTAACCCTCCACACTTACTGAGCATCACCCAGGTGGTTAAGGTTTGTAGAGATTTCCTTCGGGGAATAAAGGCAACGGGAAGAATATTTGCTCTCGTAGCTTGGGATGATGTATGTAGATCCAAGAAAATGGGAGGTCTGAACTTTAAGGAACCTGAAACTTCAAACATAGCCGCCTTAAGGAAACAAATTTCGGATACTGTTGTCAAGAAAGGTAATTTGTGGGTGAATTGGTGCCACGAATACTATCTGAAAGGGTAGGATATATGAGATTATAAATCTCCACAGGGTGCCTCTTGGTATTGGAGAAAATTGATGAAAATTAAGGAGAAAAATAAAGATGGTATACTGCAAGGTAAATGGTCAGAATTGAGGGCTGATAGTTACTCTGTAAAGGTTGGTTATAATTGGTTCTGGGGGGAAGGACAGAAAGTAAAGGAATCAGCTTCGATCTCGAACAAGTATAATGTCCCCAAGCACAGTTTCATACTGTTGTTGGTGATGAAGGAGAGAATACTCACTTCTGAAAGATTGCAGAAACTGAGGATCATTGATCTACCCATGTTGTGGGTACTTTGTCAGTCAGAAGAAGAAACTCTAGAGCATTTGTTCTTCCAGTGTCAGTTGTCAAGAACACTGTTGATGGAATTGAAAACTGGCTTAGGTGTAGGAATGTATAGGGCAGAATTTCTGTCTGGAAGAAGAAATTACAGAACATCTAGAAGCAGTCCAAGTGCAAACAAAAGGTGCTCTATGGAGTGCTAGCTGCTACTGTCTACCATGTATGGAGTATCAGGAATGAAGTTCAGCATGGGGTGAAGTTGATAAATGTTGAAAGAGGTAGTTGAAAAAATCAAGCTAGGAATGAAGTGGAGGATATCAGAATGTTGCAGGAAGTCTAAGCAGTGTGAAAAAGTGTTTCTAGAAAGTCTAGGTTTTACAATCTGAGATAGAGTTCTGTGAATATTATTCTGAGATATAATAACAGGAAAAAGTTGTAAATTTTGCAAGTTGATAAGAAGTAAACATAATTTTAACCTTTCACCAAAAAAAAATAACACGCATCAACTTTGTTGTCATAATATAGTCAACAAAATAGCTAAAGACTTTCATATTACATTGTGTTCTCTCCATTCAAATAGTTTATATATATATATATATATATATATATTTGATTTGTGATAAGTAATTAAACAAAGAAAATCAACGTAAAAGTCACAAACTACAAATTATTTCTAAACATTGTTTGCTTCGTCTAATTTGTCTACTCAACAACAATTTTAGAATGGTATATTTTCTTTGTAATCAATTAAGTTATGTATCAGTTAGTACATAAAACTCACAAAAGTACTTAATTTTCAAAAGAAATAAGTAGCATCTTCCTTGTCTACTTTTTACAACTGTTTAGCAGGTGGTCGAATTTGAAAATATATTTTCCTATCATTTTAAATAATTTTATGTATTTTTAATTATTATGTGGTAACAAATGTAAGGAATCAATGTAAAACTAACATAATACTAACTTCTCGTCGAAATTGTTTGCCAACTTATTCGTCTATTCAACAACTATGATGAGATGCTTGATGAAGAAGGTATATGAAACCCAATCCATTATATCTTATATTATAATGATACGAAAAACATTGACGAAATTCATATTATATATTTATTTTTTTTAAAATCTATCCTATTGAACCTCACTTATTTCTCTACCAAAACATGTACTTTTTTTGTCGACGTAAGAACGTTAATGAAATGTCCACGAAATTCATATTATATATATATATATATATATATATATATATAAATCCACCAATTGAACCCTACTTAAATATGAATAAACCCTCCTCTCTCCTTGGAAATTGAACGGGGTCTGCAATCAAGAAATAGGGCATCCTAATCACTAGGGTGATATTCAGTTCTCGTATTATATTGTTTTCTTTTATTTTTCATATTTCTTTAATATTTTTAATTTTTAATAAATAATTAAACTAAGGAAATTAGTATAAAAGTCACAAAACTGTCAAAGTATATAAGTACTTTGGGCTCCCATCTCAAAACCAATTGACAATGAGTGGGGTGGCTTTTGGCACTTATAAACAGGTGACAGATCCTACACGATACCGATGTGGGATTCTTTTTGTCCCAACACCCTCCCTCAATCCCAATAGGGTATTTTGGCCCATTGGGGTTGCACAACACAACATAATTCACCAGATATACTGCTAGGTCAGTCAACAAGCCCGTACACACGGGTACATACTCCGGATATACTGCCAGGTTAGTCCACAAGCCCGCACACACGGGTCTATAATTATCACAGGTCCACAGATCGTGGGTTCTGGTACCATGTCAAAGTATATAAGTACTTTGGGCTCCCATCTCAAAACCAATTGACAATGAGTGGGGTGGCATTTGACACTTATAAACAGGTGACAGATCCTTCACGACACCGATGTGAGATTCTTTTTGTCCCAACAAAAACACTGATTCTTTTTCAAAATTGTGTGTGTGGGGTTATTCGTCTACTCAATAATGACGAAACAAAACAGTTTATGAAAAAAATCAACGAAATTTAAAATCCATTATATTTGATGACTTTTACAATTTT